TACCCAAATCTCTAAAAAAGGGGCTGCAACGGATCTGATACAGACTGATCCAGATTTGAACACTTTTATGTCGTCACAGAAGTTGCGCTACGGCTATTGGGCCAACTCCACCAATCAGGAGGAGACAGCCACGGACATTTGCGCTGGAGACGCTGTAGTACATATTTCAGGCCACCAGATGGTGCTGTTCTCACAGAATCCGAGTGTGAAAGGCAGTGTTAAATTGAGCGAAATGAGGAATGGCTAAAATGCATGATCTGTTTGGTATTTTGAAAAATGAAAAGTATAAATATGCCTTATATAGCTATGGTCCTACACTATATTATTCATTATAGCATGATAGGTCCACTTTAAGAATTGACTGAACTATTCACAAGTATTTACATTTTATAAAAATGTCAAACATCTCATGGGAAATGAATACACCTTTTCATTTGTCTGACTGTTGAGTTATTTCCCACCCCCTTCCTGTCCATAGTAAACTCCAGTATCCATGAATCTCCAGATTTAGTGATTTATTTAGGTTTGGATGAACTGAATAAAGCACTCATTTATAACTTGACAAGGTTCTCCTTAAACTATTTTAAAAACGTGGATCAGATTGCTAATCCATCGGCACACAGCTAAAAGTTGTCTGACCTCATGAAGGGTTAACATTTTAGAGATAAGTGGTTCTCACATGACCGCGATGTTACAAACATGCTGATCTTAAGAATCTATGATGTATTGCCGTAGATTAAACGACCCAACAGAGTATATATATAGTAAAAATAGCTTATTAAAAAAAACAGCTGCAATAAAATCCAACATTCAACTAAATGCAGCAGTAAAACTAGTCCCGAACATGATATAATAGTACAACATTGACAGGGAACCTTTTTTTTGTAATACTTTAGGCACAAGGTTGGTGATAATACTAACAAAATTATACTTAAATATGTATTTTAAAAAGGATACAGAAACACACACACACACACCTGTTTCATCTTGGCCAGCTCTCTGCGTGTGTGTTCATCATTCCTAAGGTCCTTCTTGTTACCCACGAGAATGATGGGGACGTTGGGACAAAAGTGTTTGACTTCGGGCGTCCATTTCTCAGGAATGTTCTCTAGAAGGATGAAGAAGAAAAAAGTAAAGTCATTATGCAGCAAATTCCAGACTTCTTTCCCTACATGGCCAGTGGGGAAAGGCCCTCACCCTTTCCCTTGGGACTGCACAGACAAACATTGAGAGGTCGCTGACCCCTCCCTGATACATGCTGGAAGCCAAACCTTGTGCTGTCCTGGAGGAGATGCCAGAATACGATAGAGTAGGCATCCCATCTGGAGCAAAGCCCATATCTAAAAACCTCGAGGGAGAAAGCCTGAAGTACACGTGACATTTCCTACGTACGCTTCGAAACCCTCCCAGCAAGAGCAGCTACGTTAAAGCCCAAACATGTGTTTGTTGTTCTTGTTCCCTCCTTGTTAATGTAGAAACAAATACATCTCTTAAAGTGCAATTGTCTATAAAATAACCATTCATCAGAAACAATTAAAAAGAGGTCAACCTTGAGAACTGTTTATAGGTTCTTCTTTTAACTTCCCGTTGAATAAACATTTTCGCTTTCAACTGTATTTAAGTTACAACTTCCTAATGATTTATTCAAACTAGTTAAGCTGCGAAACAGTCATGTGTTAAGAAGTGTGGAATCAACTCATTTACTGACTAAACCACAACAGTAAACAGCCGTCTTAATGGCAGCCAGATTAATTACACCAATGGTTTAATCACACAAACACCATCTGAATAAGTTATCATGAAATGGATCATTCATTGCATGATGTCTGCCAAAAGGTTGAAATCAGGAAAATGTACTGGAAAAAACATAAATTATTCAAAAAGGGGAAAAACTCAGAGAGTGCAGTATATTTCACTCATTGTGGTTAAAAAGGTGGAAATATAATGGAGCATTTGCCAAATTGCCTTCCTGCATCTCTATTGATTATCACTCTTTCAAAGCACAGTTTTCTATGCTCAGAGGCAACTTCCGTTATCAGTTTCATATATCAGAGCAGTGTTTCCCCTACCATTGTCTATATATATATATATATATATAGCACCAAATTGCAACTAATCTATATCTACTGTCCCTTTTCACATTGAACATGTGCTCTTATATTAAAGGTGACCTATCATGCAAAATGCACTTTTGTACGTCTTGTATACATGAATATGTGTCCCCGGTGTTCCAGGGAACTCACCAAGTGTCAGAAAACACAACCCTCTCTATTTTCCTCCTTACCCAAATCTCTAAAAAAGGGGCTGCAACGGATCTGATACAGACTGATCCAGATTTGAACACTTCTATGACGTCACAGAAGTGGTGCTACGGCTATTGGGCCAACTCCACCAATCAGGAGGAGACAGCCACGGACATTGTCGTTCGAAAGCGCTGGAGACGCTGTAGAACATACGCCAGGCCTGTAGATGGTGCTGTTCTCACAGAATCAGCCCATGAAAAGACAGTGTTAAATTGAGCGAAATGAGGAATGGCTAAAATGCATGATCTGTTTGGTATTTTGAAAAATAAAAAGTATAAATATGCCTTATATAGGTATGGTCCTGCACTATATTATTCAAATATAGCATGATAGGTCCACTTTAAATAAACTAAACACTTTCATTTTAAGTTTAGTGTTTTTGACCCTAAGAAACACTGATGCATTAATCAATAACAATAATCCACAGCTCCTCTCTCTGCTCCAGAGGATTTAAAAAAATATATATATATCCCAATTTCACCCCCCCTCCCACGCTCAGGCAGCACTCCCCCAAAGCAGTAAACCTAGGGGAAACACTGCAGTGATACAGTAGCATCAGCAATATCATTGTTTTTGCATCTGTGAATTAAACCCACAATGGACTTTTTCAAGTTACCAAATCAAAGAACATTTATCCATTTTTGAAGTCACTGACTTTTATTCCTGAAAATGACAGAATAATTCAGAAAATGTTACTTTCAGTGTTGCTCGTGTGTTAGCAATTTGTGTGTGACCTTACCTAAACTGTCAGGGCTGTCTATGGAGAAACACATGAGGATAACATGCGTGTCGGGGTAGGAGAGAGGCCTCAGCCTGTCGTAGTCTTCCTGACCTGCTGTGTCCCACAACGCTAACTCCACCTGAGGAAACGGTAAGAGAAATCACAGCTACTAACTAGAAACTCAATTTGAGACATCATCAAAACAAAGAAGGACTTTCCCACTTCATCAACAGCAGGATGAAGAGACAAAGACAAAATGGGCAACAAGAAACAGAACAGAAAACAGAAAAACTTGAGGGAGGAAGGAAAAAGGATTTGAAACAATTAATTCCTAAAAAAAAACTAGTCCCCAGAGACATGGTTCCCACAAGATGTTCTTAGGTTGTTTGTCAACTTCTAGAAGTACCAGAGTGCCTGACCTGTTCCAGATTTTAAAAAACACAGAGAAAAAAAGCATTGGAGTTCAGCCGGGTCAGAAGCACATAATGGCAATTCAAGTGGAAAGTAGAAATGTCTTCTAGTAGCGGCTTTGCATACATCATCTAGATTTTGGCTTAAGAGTCTCCATATGGCTTTGGTCTGTTACTTTGACTGCAATCATAGTTCCTAGTTTATCTTGTGTCCTGCTGATTTAATCACTAAACAACCTTGTAAACATGACAACCACAGCCTCACTGGCAGTTTCCATGATATATCAGCAGGCTGAGCTGAGCCACATCTCCTGTTCGGGGAAACTGGGCAACACCAAAACATGACCAAGCCTTTTCCATTTCGGCTGCTTTTGGAATCTTTTACCATTGAGTGTCTCTCAGGAGCCGGCCTCCATCTGTGGCCTGGCTAAACTCCTCCTTGAAGCTTTTGGTTGTTGTAACCATAACTTAATATGATATAGGAATATAACTAGTGACACTGTTTCACTGACTCATGCAATATTTCATTCATATTTTTAAATGCACCCGTCTACCACAGTTCAGAGGCTTATAGTACAGTCCATCTTGTATTATGCCGCACAGGAGGCAGGGACAGGAAATGGGACATTAGTCATGTTGAATGGGGGGTGCGTTTCAACACATGGAAGGAAGGTGGCACTGATTCATTTCCTGTTGTTGGCTGGAGGTCTGGCGCTTTATAACAATGAAAGAAAACACACATTTCCTAACAATAGGCATTTTCCCAACGGATCTTGATGGTGCTTGGTTCTCAGCAGCATTGTTGGTTGAGGTGCTCCCACATTTAGCTTTATAATCCACTCTGAACTATATAAATCCATTCATAAAAACCTAATGTTCATGTCTTAGCATTTTAAAGACTGGGAAATTTTGATTTAGGACATTTGGAACTTTCTCTTTGCATTGCATTTTGTAAAATGTTAAATAATTCATCCAGTTTTGGCCTCAAACTGTTATTGAGATGAGTTCATTTGAGAAGTTTAGAGGGAAAATGGTTCCTTGGTTCTAACTCTGTCATCTGTAACGTGACAACAACCACCACACTGTAATGTGTAAGAAGTGACAAGCCAGACTGTGGGATTGACTGGTATTATGCTAACAATGTGTAGTATTTCAGAAGAGTATCATGTTTTTAAATGTATAATTTAGGGCTGTCAAACGATTAACATTTTTAAATCAGATTAATCACAGCTTAAAAATTAATTAATCATGATTAATCACCATTCGAACTATGTCCAAAATATGCCATTTCTTTATGTATATTGTTGTGGGAATGGAAAGATAAATGAAAGAAGGCGGATATATCCATTTAACATACAGTATGTATGTATGTTTATTATAACATTGTTCTGTGTGTCAAAATGAAAGACAGCCCAAACACCTATCAATCATCAAACCGTGGGGTCTCAAAATTAATTCATTATTGGTGTTTTATGAAAGTGTCTGTAAGTCTGTAACTCTTTGGAGATGCGACTGATAACTTTTTGTAGAGAGACAACAAGTCTCCGGTATTGTCTGAAACAACTAAATGGTTGTCAACTTAAATTTTTTAGATTAAGTTAAAGTCAGGTTGAAGAGTTATCTGGAACCGGTTTGTTATTTGCAAGTTGTATTTCACGGTCAACGATGGAGGGTGACATGATGGAGGGTCACAGTTGTATTCCGACATGAGCAAAAGTGTAGTGTTGTCATTTCCCTTCTCCAGACGCCGAGATTTTGTCAGAGTCCCTAGTAGATAAGAAGGTTAGCGACCAGAGTGACAAGATAGACAACGTAACAAGGGGACAGACCTAGTTTCGCTGAACAGAACAGTGGTCAACATGACGACTCAGCAGATTAACGGCGATCGAAGGTGCGCTCGCGATATGAACTCAGAACAAGACAAACGTCTAGACGACGATACGTCCTTATGAACAACGATATTAAACGCTAGTTGGCACGCAGAATACTGCGACGGAGGCAGTAGCAGAAGTAATTCCGTGGTCAAGGGCTCAAGATGCAGGGTTGACACGCCTATGTAGTCGAACTGTAACTTACTACCTTTGTGCCATGAAATGAAAAAACTTAACAGTGACACAAAACAACAACTAGACTTCGTCACTCCTTGTAACAACACGATGTTCATAGTTGATGTCATGTTGAGTAGGTCACTCATGCAAAGTAAAACTACGTTACAATTACTTCACGCTAATTGTTACGACAGTATTAAAATAGCAGCAATTAAAAACACATTAATTAATAGAATAACTTGCGCAATTTCAGGGCCGGGTCAATTTTTATAAATTGCGTAAAATTGCGTACACGTCTTACCGGGCGGGGTATGTAGGGTGGTCACCGGCGCGACCCCATCCGATGTCGGTATGGTTATTTACCGAATCGGAGGTCGTAAATTTTTACTACAATTTCATTCGTTTTTATTTTCAGGCGTTGAGCGCGACTCATTTAACGTGCCTGTCGTACATTCACTTCTAACTAAAGGTCATCAGTGACAGACCTTTAATGGCTTCTGAATCTTTGCCAAAACTTTTGAAAACCGTGCGTCACTAGCCAGAAGAGTTATCTTGAGAAACTATTACAGAAGACCGGTTTAGTCTTAGTTTATTGCCGCACACACAACGTCCTTCAGGACGCCTCTTATGGAAAACGATATCATGGTAGAGATATATGTAGCTATGTGTAATGCACAACTATCTTTAGTTGTNACCGGAGCGGCTTCGCGTTCGGGCTGCGGCCTGCTTTACACCTGCTGTAGCGGAGGCCTGTATCCTCCTGCTCCACCTGTCGTGCTCTACGGTGCCGAGGAGGTTTTACAACGGGGATATCGCGGAGAGACCGGAGTGCCTCTACGTTTCGGGCTGGACCTGCTTCGCCTATCCTGAACTGCTGTGCTGAGGAGGATCTTCAACGGGGACATCGCGGAGAGACCGGAGCGCCTCTACGCCTCGAGCTGGGCCTGCTTTGCCTATCCTGCTATGCTGAGGAGGTTTTGCACCGGGGATATTGCGGAGAGACCGGAGCGCCTCCACGTTTCGGGCCTGCTTGCGCGCCCATCCGGATGCTGTGCTGGTCTGGGAAAATGGCCCCTATCGTGATTCTGCTATGCCTGTTTTTTGGCTATTATTTAGGGCTGTCAAACGATTAACATTTTTAAATCAGATTAATCACAGCTTAAAAATTAATTAATCGTGATTAATCACCATTGGAACTATGTCCAAAATATGCCATTTCTTTATGTATATTGTTGTGGGAATGGAAAGATAAATGAAAGAAGGGGGGTATATCCATTTAACATACAGTATGTATGTATGTTTATTATAACTAGGGCTGTCAGTCGATTAAAATAGTTAATCGTGATTAATCGCACATTTTTTATCTGTTCTAAATGTACCTTAGAGGGATATTTTTCAAGTCTTTAATACCCTTATCAACATATGAGTGGACAAATATGCTTTATGCAAATGTTTATTATCATTTGAACAATGACAAATATTCTCATGAATATTAAACATAACAACCTCTGAATATTAGAAACTATCCGCCTCAATTCAACCTGGAACCTCTCTCATACAATACAATAATACAATACAAAGTGTGTGTGTGTGTGTG